GCCCGCCACCATGCCTGGCTAATTTTTTTGTATTTTTAGTAGAGACGGGGTTTTATCATGTTAGCCAGGATGGTCTCGATCTCCTGACCTCATGATCCGCCCGCCTCGGTCTTCCAAAGTACTTTGTCCCTCTTAACTTCCCCAGAATATCAAATAATGGCCATAAAAACTATCAATATCAAATATGGCCACAGAGACTATCAAACTCTTCTTAAATACGTGAAAAGCTTCCTAGCTGAAATAAGCTATTTGCATGCCCAGTAAAATTGAAGAACAGGGTCTTATGAACTCGAGGTTAGAGTTCTTCAAGCCCATTTACAGTAAGGGACATTCTACAAATAAGTCAAGGGTATCCAGTCTACAACACAGTACTTCCTACTTGCTTACACTTATTAGAGCTCCTTTTTAGAGTTCTTGTACACAGGTCGTATCTTCCTAATCAGACTGAGAACCGTAAAGAGGCAAAACTATGTCTTCTTTAAGGCACCTACCAAGTTTGAGCAAAAAGTAAATGCTCAATAAATGCTTGCTCAGTTTATAGCAATGGAAGTGGTACACTGTGAGGGACAAAAGTACATTTGGCATGAACAAAGAATTCTATTCGTATTTTGCTCATCAACTAGGACTAGTATAGTACCTAGCATGTAACAGAAGCCTAATAATGAATGAAGAAAAATAAATGTATGATATGGCAAAAACTGAGATGTTATTAAGCAACATCTTTTCTGAAGTCTTTCATTCATTCAACAAATATTTATTTACCAAGTATCTGTGTGCTAGGTTCTCTGCTACTCTGAAACTTCCACAGAGTTTCACTCACAGAAACCTAACTTCCCTCCGCACCAGCTAATGCATCTCAACGCAACCGTTCATCTAGTAGGCAGTGCGCATAGCTGGGGTGACCATTTGTCAAAGTATGTCCGAAACAGTCCCAGTTTACATCTATTATCCCAGTGTTAATTAATAATAGCACTGCTCAACAATGCCCTGATCTAGAGAATTACATGGCCCTAAGCACAGCAAATCTTCTCCCACAAACAGATCAGGATTCAAATATTTCACTCTACAGTCTTGGGACCCTCAATGCAAGGGACAGGCTGTAAGCAAGGGTTTGGACAGCCCAGCTTGCTCTCTTGTCTCTCTGTCATGTAAAGGAGCTGTAGTTCAGTTTTTGTTTTGTTTATTTTAAGGCCCACATTTAAAGTATAGTATTCCTTGTCAGGAGATTCCTGGCATTAAAGAGATGGACGGGAATCTTAACCGCCTCCTCCAGATCATCCACTATTGCATCATTTGAAACCAAAGCCTTCTAAAGGCAGCGACTCGTACAATTCAAGTCAGGTAAGATGGCAGCAACAGCAGCTGTGAGTGCTGGCTGCTGCTGGAGCCTCGGTCTCAACTTCAAGAGCAGGGAGAGCGCTGTCTCTGGAGTTGCCAGGTGCTGAAAGGAACAGTCAATAATAAATCAACAGGTCCGGCGCGCTGTCCCCGGGGTGCTCAGGCCCGGATGCGCCACGACTGGAGGAAGTGGCTAATTACTCACAGTTGAAACCAAAGGAGGCCGGAGCCGGTTCTCAAAGCGGTTTCGCTCTGAGGACCTGCTACGGGAAATGTCCGGGCCCAGTAGAGCGAGACAGAAGAAGCACCACAGCCTGGGCTGCGGCTCCGGCCCGCCAGCCCCAGCCCCTGGCAGCCCTGCCCTGCTGTCGCGGCAGGTACCCCTCTACTCATTCTTCCTCCGGCTGCCCGCTCTTTCCATCAATCGTAAGCCTTTCGGTTCTGCCACCAGGAAACTTCCATAGAAGGTGAGATTCCCAGGTCGAGGGATGATTCCACGAACAGCCAGAGGTCTGGTGCCGGGACTTCAGGGTCAGACTAAGTAAAGCACAGGCGTTGCTGGGCCGGCTCGGAACAACTCAGAGCTGCGGATCCTACTCAGAGCTGCGGATCCTACGCTCCCGCGCCCTCACGCCCATCCAAGTGCCGGCAGGAGGTGGGTCCTCCATCCCCACGACCCACCGGCCGGCGCCCCGAACCTCGGCAGTGCGTCCGCAGGGACCCTCCTAGCTCCAGCGGGGACAGACCTCCAAGGCCGGGCGCCCCCCCCCGGAGCCCGCCCGCCCCAGAAAGGGGACCAAGGGGGCGGGGCCTCGGCCGTCCCAGCCGGGCTCACTCTTCTCTCCCGGACTCCTGTCCAGGGTTTCAGGGGCCGGGCCCGCAATCCCCATCGGCTCGTACCTCGTCCGCTTCCAGCTCCGCTCGGCTGCCTACGAGCGCCATGTTCCTCCTCCGGCTGCTGCCACCCAAAAACCAAGCAGGGAACTCAGAGCCGACTCCTGCTCTCGGCTCTGGGCTCAGCCCAGCGCAAGGGAGGGAGAAAGGGGACTGCCCGGCGCTCCCTCCCCGTCTCGGGCGGGGCCTGAGTGCAGCTACTCGATTTCCCCGCCCCCGGAGCCGGCAGGCCCACACCGCATCCATTTCCTCCCTGGACGCAGCGCCGCTGGCCGGGCCACTTGCCCGGCCCCCCCGCAGGCTCGCCCCGCCCGCCCACGTGGGCGGAGTCACCTCCCAGATAAAGTTTCCCGGTCTGGCACGCCCTCCGGGAGGGTTTCCCAAGGGTTACCTGCCGCTTGTGCTCTGAGGTGGCTGGGCACACCTGGAAAGAAGCTAGAGAGCGCGGGGATGACGAAGCCAAGGTCAAAGCAGCGCCCCACCTGGGGTCCGTGGAAGCATCCACCTGGCCCTTGGTCCGGTTCCAGTCCTTTTTCCTCTCCAGGTGGCCACCGCATCTCGCAGATGGTGTGGCCTGAGGGCAGCCTTGGGTCACGGTCACTGGTCCCTGAGAGACTTCTGACACACCACCCGCCTGTACAGTAGGTGGAAGGACTCTGTTTGCTTCTGTGTTCAAAAAATTAAAAAAACGCGGGACAGAGATTTATACATCTTGGAACTCCTCTACCTCCCCCTACCCGGACCGTGTATTCTCTCCATAGCATCCTGTAGTTTGTAACTCCAAACATAGTTGTGTAATTCGTGCTTGAACTATAAAATCCATGAAGGTAGGATGCTATCTGTGCTCTTCAAGACTGTATCCCCAACACCTAGAACAGTGTCTTGCACATAGTAGGTGCTCAACATATTTGTTGGCTGAGTTTAAAAATTGAACCTTGCTTCTGACATGTAAAATAACTGGAAAATTAAAAGCTAGATCTTTAAGAATTTGGGAGAGAGAGGTCAGAATTACTTTACATACGGAAAAATGCACCAAGTTAAATGTGTAATTCAATGACAAGTGTTTACAAAACATCCCAATCATAATATAGAACATCCTGAAAAGTTTTCTGTGACCCTTTGCTGTCAACTTCCTACCTCCACTCCCTAGCCTCTGTCAGTCACTGATCTGCTATCAACATTGATTTGCCTTTTCTAGAATTTCATATAAATTTAATTAGAGCATGTGGTCTTTCATGTCTGGCTCATGAAAGGCTATTTAATAGTCATCCAGTGATAACTGTAAAAACAGCTAATAGTTATTGAGTCCTTACTATGTGCCAGGACTCTACTGAACCTCTTGCATATAGTATTTCATTTATTCTTCATAACCCCATAAAGTAGGCTGCTGTTCTCTTTCAGATGAGTAAACTGAGGCTCAGAGAGTTCAAGTAATATGCCTGAGGCCAGACAGCAGTTAAGTAAGTAGGGATGCCAGAATCTGAACCCCAGCAGTCTGACTCTAGGGCCTAACTGATAACCATTGCTTTGTACTGTACTGGCTCTAGTCACCCTCCTTCTCTTTATTTCTGTGTCAGTAAAGCAGTTGCCTGTACAAGTCCATTACATACATTTTCAGTGAGTCACTTTGCATCCTAATACTTGCTGTACAATTTTAATGGCTTGGCATGTACTTTTATACTAGAATAATAAAATGGTTTCTACACCAGAAACATTGAAAAAATGGGTTAGATCATGTGGTGGTTGCTCAACTCTCTGAATTGTCTAAAAATCCTTCAATTGTATACTTACAATGCGTGAAACTTGTGATTATGTAAATTATATCTTAGTAAAACTGTTTTTAAAAAACTAGTTGACACAGGCTAGGTGTGGTGGCTCACACCTGTATGGGATTACAGTACTGGGAGACTGAGGAAGGAGGCTAGCTTGAATTTAGGAGTTCAAGACTAGTCTGAGCAACATAGCAA